CCCTGTGTAAGGAGCTCACATATTCTCCTGGTGTCATATAGACTCCTCTGGACACTGCAGCATCCTCCCGCAGTCCAAAGGCATGCAGTTAGGGTAAGTGTCATCTCTAAATTAGCCACAGAGTATGACTGTGTGAGTGTGCATGTGTCCATCCCATCCAGGGTCGAACCCCAGCCTGGGACTGGCTCTAGGTGATCCTAACCAAATAAAAGGTTGGCGGATGGGTGGGTAACATTCTAGTCTTTGAAAATATTTTCTTACTGCATTACTCATTCTGAGTGGAGTATTATTTTCTTTGCAATAACCCATTTTTTCACCATTATAGGTATACGGGCAGTTGACACAAATTCGGTTTAATTCATCCATCCATTTTCCATACTGATTTTCCTGTACAGGGTCACAGTGAAATACGGTTTCCTCTACCTGAAATTATAGCAAGTCCTCAAGTACTGTGTTCAGGTAGATGCAAATTTGATTGTGCACTTCATTCAACTAACATTCAGACCTGAAGACTTGAGTTTGACACAGCCTCTACTAGAGGATATTAACATATTAAGGCAGTAGGTCTTATATGCAGTATTAATGCCATGTACAAAATATGCTGCACAGATGAACACGCCCTGGTGAGATCTGTGAGAGGATCTAATATACTGGTCAAGCCTATCGATTAGCACTCCTACACCCAATCAATAAATATATCAATAATATACTGTACACTGTATTTCAACTGTACAACAAAACAGTAAAACAATTTACTTTAAGACATATTAAATATTTAATATAAAATACTAAGTAGTCAAGCTTTATAAATCTATCGTGTTGTATATAAAGCTTGATTACTTACTATGCATATATATGATATAAAATTTATATGATATATATGATATAAACAGTTTGCAATTTTAAAAGTGTGTTTAGAGGTAAGTAATACATAATTAACTTGTGTAATTAACAGAGGCGTGTTAGAGGAAGAGGTGTGTAAAATGAAGATGGTGACTGCTGTGTAATACTGCATAATGAATGTCGGCCGCAGGGCCGAGCTGTCAGAAGTGCTGCCGCACGACATGCGGATGTCGGCACTGTGCACGTAGGCCGTTAGAGGCTACCAGAGTGTTGCTTAAGTGAGAGAAAAGGTGTGAAATGTATGGGTGTTTGTATGTTTGGTGAAGAGAGGCAGGAGACCCGCCCATATGGGTGTGGCTCTAGCTCTGACCCCGCCCCTTCCTCCAGTGGGGGCGGGGCAGGGGGCGTGTTCTGCATTCTCTGAGCCTACCTAATTTTTGCATGCATGCTCGGAGCCTCTCCTCAAGATTTGACACTCTGTTCTGTAGCTCCTCGTAGTCATAGGCTCCCATCTCCTCCTGAAGTTCGTTTAGAACTGACGTCAGATTCTGGACTTCCTCCTTAAACTGTAATACCAATTTGGCATCGGCCTTGTACTCCTCCAACACTGGTATCAATGGCCTAAGTTCCTCCATTTTCGCTTTTATTGCCTGAAAGGTTAAAATAAGCTTGGTTCAGTGTCATGCGTGAAAATTCCTGTCCAACACCTGCCTTGCCCTAACACTGACTGCCTCCAACCATCCCCCGCCCCCCCACCACCACCACCACCCTCCGCGTGGGTGTCACCGTTTACAAGATCAAGAACGCGTTACGTAATCCGAATTACAAGCAGCGCAAAACAAGTCCTCAGTACACCAAAAACAATTGGGAAAGCTCTTTATTTTTCACCTTTTAAAATGCAACATCTTAGGGTTACATGCTTCATGTCACATACAACAAAGTTTGTTTTTTTTTAGTTGGTCGTTCTTTAGTAACCAAATATGCATTAACAAAAACTAAAATGAGAAATCATATTATAATTTTTAAAAAAGAAAGAAAACGACAAAAACTATTCATGGAATGCCTCTACAATAACATGCTAGGAAGAACACAGTGGTGCCCTGGGGGTGGGCAGTGGGGGGGTGTTTCCTTAGTGATAAAGGTGCCAATTTCAAATAAACTGAATGACGCGCAAAATTCAGTGGCCCAGTTCAAGGTTACATTGGATAGAGCTGCCTCTTCAGTCACAGCAGCATTGATAAAATGTCTTAAAGTTAGCCCTGCAAGCAAGAAAATGAGATACTGTTGAAGGATCTAGCTCACTAGCCTATCTAAATACATACACAGCAACAGGGGGCGCTCCGCATTCCCAGAGATGCAACGGAACCATGATGCAACAGAAGCGTGATGTCAAGGGAGGGGTTGGGGGGAGGTGTTATCCACATGCGCGGGAGACCCATGCATCGCACGCGGGACACTGGCGGGACTCGCGGACACGGCACACGCAAGAGCAGCTTCACAGGAGACCACAGACGACATAATGAGGTTTCGCCATGCCAGTTTGACAATGAGCGGAATCAGCCCACTCCTCTGCAGTGGCTTCAGGTACTACCTCGCTTATATAGCGCTCCATTCATCTTTAATGTTAAAGGAGGGATCGGCGGGGGTGCAGAGAGCATGTGGGAAGCACGATTCGGCCCGTTGCACAAATTAGCCGATTTTACGTGATTAACCTGGCCGTCCGATCCAATGCACCGCTCAACCTTACAGCGGAACATTGAAAGGAAAGAGGCATCTTTGCAAAATCGTTTTAGGTGAGATTCTAATAGGGTTTTCATGGGTTTTCTCAGTCAATTAGTATATCTGTAATGAGGAGACTTCTGTGAATCTTACACGACCTCCTCAAAGCCTTATAAAGGGTGGGAAGTTCACCAAACAAACCCCCCCCCCCATAACAAATAAGGGTGGCAAACTGTAATGAAGGGGGTAGTCTTAAAATACACTACATGTTTTTAACATTCTCAATACAGGAAGTGATGACTGAATGCTTTCGCCATCCATCTGCTATTAGTATAGATAAGAAGACGGTTACAGCATTCTTGTGTTTCACTGTGCAGCAGCTACGGGCAGCAAGGAGCCTCCAGTGCACTCAGGTTAGGTCACGATGGAGGGCGGGCAGGTGGGGTAAAGCCAGGCCGCTTCATGCTCTCAGGGCGTCTGGGCCAATGTCCGGAAAGGGACCGGCATGGGACTGAGACCGACACGTACCTTATATTGCTTGGCAATATTCTGCTTGTGGCTTTCTTCCACCTGCCGGAACTTGGTCTCCAGGCCTCGTAACTGGATCTCCATCTTTTCCACATACTGGAGGTCTCTCTGGGTCCGCTGGTCCAACACCTGGATGGACTGTGTCATATTCTGAACCTGGGCCAGGAAGAAGAACACAAACGCCCTCTGATGGTGGCCTGGAACCGGCAGTGGGATCCTACGCACTTCTAGGTCTCGTATTTTAAAGCCTCCTGCCTCCTATCGATCCACTATTTATAAATAAATGAACACTGCATGGCCATTCGCTCCGGAAAATGCAATCCTAAAAATGCTTTTACCATCCACCCTGACCAAAATATCCTTCATTCCCTTCTTTTTGTGCTAAGGTAAGTCACAAAAGACAAAAAAAAGGTTTTAATACACATCTTACATTAATATACATCTGTACACCAAACAGTGATGAAGCACCACCAAGATTCTCTCACAAATCTATCTGCTTTGAACCGTGTTGCTGGCACTGAGACTATGGATTCTATTTTTCCCCTGAGCTGCCTGTCCAGTCCTGATCTGCAGGTCTCCTTAAATGTCCCGCCGTAAAGTTCCCAGCTGATCGCTAATTTATTATTGCGTTTTCCCCCCATGTTGCTGGAGAGGTCAGCATGCCCGTGACCCCTGACAGCACACAGCTGCGGCTGCTCAGAGAAACCCGGAGTCACTCAGCACCTCATTTTTAAATCCGATGATAAATAAATAAACACCCAAACAGTGCTGCTGACTCCAGTTTCAGCACCAGTGGCTATTTTCAGAATCTCATAACTGCCTAAACACAAGGGGGTTATTTTAAGGGGATGTTTCAATCATTTTTTACGTCATTATTTACCCCAATAAGTGGGGGCTTTTAGCCAGAGTGGTGCAGTGCACCTTACAGTGTTCACAGGATGCGCCTGTCCAATTCACTGAAGAAATTCAAGCCCTCAACACAAAGCTGCAGCAAATTCAAGGCGTTTAATGTTGCTGTTAACTAAACCAATACAGGTGTATTAAACACATCTGTTTACACTGAGAAGATGTAATACTGTAAAACATATATATTGCTCTGTAACATAATTTTTAAGTAATTTTAATAATCTGAATGAATATTCTAAAATTAACACTTTGAAGAGTAAAGAGACTGGGATAGAGATGAGGATTTTGGATGCATCTTAGAAATGCATGTCACCAACAACTCGTGGGGGTCTGCACAGTGTTCGGCCGGGGCGGGGTGTGTTGTCATGGTTACTTTCTCCAGCAGCTGCCTCAGCTGTTTGGTCCTGGCATCTCGTGAGCACATGGTCTGCTGGGGAGCCACTACGGTGCAGATACACCTGCCCTCGCTGTCCTGAGCCGAGCTGTACACCTGCCATGACTCCTCAGGGTTTGCTGGCAGTACCTGTGCATGGAGGAAGACCAAAGACAGACAGCGCACTATGACATCAGCGGGAAGTATACAGTATATAAACATGGCAAGAGGCAGTCAGGCTCTCCTGCCACACAGCCTTTCCAGCGCCCTCTTCACGGTCTCTAATTTTTCTCAGTGCAGTATAAAATTCTGGCAATTTTGCAGCTGCTAGTGTGGCTGCTCTTCTGGTGGCTTGAAGTGTCCATTCCTCCTGAAATGAGAAACGCTTTCACACAACTTGTGCACGCTGATCACTTACGGTTGTGTAAAGGGCCATCTGGTGAGCTTAAATCAGCCATACGCTTTTACCAGAATATCCCACAGCCCAATAAATTGTCCTCATTCTCAAAGCCACTGTGGCTGGAAATGAGTGATTTAATCAGATTTAAGCTATAGCACTTATACGGAATCCCAATATTAAATTCTCTGTTTGATGTTTGAAAAGTCTTAGCATGCAGGTCACTTAACGCCAGACTGTTTCTGCTACAAGCTTTCAGCATTCAGGATGCTCCATTGATGTCACACTCACATGTCATGGGTTGAGATGCCAGCACAAACATTTTGTGAGATTATCATAAAGTGTTTTCTTTAATAAAAAGCGTTGTCATTTGAACGTGGCTTTGGCATTAACACAGTAACTGTCCAGAACAAAGGCTTTCAATTGTCTTTTGTTGTTAAGTAGAAGTTGGATATTCTTCATTGGATAGATGGATGGAAGGATGGATGGATGGATGTGTAGGCCTTAGTCGTCCATAATTTGGGATGCCAGGCACAGGCTTAACGTCAGAAGCCCATCATATACACCTACCGATGTCAATCGTGCCTGCTAACATTTTCACAATCTAAGCAGCTAAGCCACTGGAGAAACCAGCCGACTCTCTGACTGTAAAAACTGATTGTTTATGTATATAAATGGATTTTGTTGCTCTATCCATAACATCATACAAAATCTCCGTTTTCTACTACTGAAATTTCATTCTTGATTCTTCTTTCCAATTGGTTGGCGCTGTCCTTTCTCTAAGGATGACCCCTAGTCATCTGAAAGAAGACCTGGCACCTCAAGAAGCAAATGCATAACTTCGGGTCTCCACCCATTTACAGGGGTCCAAGGGGTTGTATTGGCTGGTTCCGATTATTCGGGGGGGGGTTACAACCCCCCTTCCCCCTATAGTTTACACCCGTGCCTGGAAGTATAACTGGGGGGAATTGGACCAATTCTTAATTTTCACAATATTTGTCATTGTGAAACGTTAGTTAAATAACAGATCAGTGACGCACATAGGCTGTCATAAGTACAGATCACCTCTGCATCTCCTGCTGTATATAAACCGTACCGATCTCCGTTACACATAATATACATGATGACCAAGCAAGCAGGCTACACTGACCCTGACAGATAGCAAGAAAAACTGCGATAAAGCTGTCACCGATTTCAAGATCGTTTGAAAAATCTTTTTTTTTTTTTTTTAGTTTAATCACTATGCAACCTTGCACTTAATAACTAACAAAAAAATACGAAATCCCCTAACATTTTCCCCCGGCAATAAAAGCACTCTCTCGGCAATGAGATAGTTTGTTTTACTCAGGCGCCATTGCACCAAAATCGATAAGACATTTTATAAAATAAAAATCCGATGAGACGCCCTTTCTGCTAAACCACTGCACCTTTTATGGGTTTATAATTTGATTTCTTAATTTCACTACTCTACCGAAACAGTCTCCTCTATTCAAATAGAAATGTAGCCTATATCGTGCATGGAAGGGTCTCACCCACCACAAGCCGTGTAGTGTCAAGTTGTTGATTGAGCACAAAAAGTATATTTCATATTCGTTTATAACGATTCCTGGGTTTATGTTTTGTAATACTTGACAATAACAAGTGCTGTGTGCTTTTGACGTTTATTTTCATTCATTCCTTCATTCTTCATTCGTCCCTTTATAATATAATATAAGTTACGATCTATATTAATTTCGGAGCAGGAACGCAAACACTTAACATTTGTTTCAAACAGCAGACTTGAAGACGTCCAGAATCTCTCCCATAATGCCATCGTTTCCCACCAAGAAAGACAAAGTGCGTCTTTTTAAATTCCCTGCGATCACCGCGCGCCCTTGATGCGCCTTTCTGAAAGTGTCATCAATCTCCCGATCGGTGCCCTCACGCTGCCCTTCTAACAACTAGTAGGGGAAGAGAGGTCTGTCTGTACTTGCAAAATGGGTAAAAAAGAATTTAAAATAGCTCTATAAAAAGCCATGCATTTCAAATTGCCCTGTGGTGTCTATGGTATAAGATATGGGCAACGATTATACATTAGTATTAGTATAACTGTATTATAATAATAATAATAATAATAATAATAATAAAGTAGGCCTATACAACAACATTATATTGTAGTAGTAGCAGTAGTAATAATAATATTAACAATAATAATAGGCGATCTTGTGTACTCTGGAAGAAACGCAAAGTATAAATCCGTTTAGGGTACAGATCATCTACTGGGGCGAAGCAACTCACGCCGGTACTTCGGTCCGGTATCCCTCCAGGTGCTGCCATCAGCTTGGTGGTGTTAAGTCCAACCAAGGAGGGCAGCGTCTGCGACATCCAGTTGGTGATCATGGCCATCGTGCTGAGCACAACCCCGATCTTGAGTAAAGGCACCGACATCTCTGCTTTCTTTGTCTCACCCGAAGCTTCATTCTACACACTCCAGCGGGGAGCTCTGCTGGCAATCCATACTGCCGGGAAAAGCGTGCAACAACAGCCTTGCCCCGACTTCGGACGCTCCTGCCTCGGACATAGCTGGCGAACAATCACGGGAGACTCTGCTCTGAACGGCGAAATGCCCCGGTGCAGTGCTAAGAAACGGAGCTCCTGTCCTGCAACAGCTGCACACGCGTAGTGAGGCGTAAAGGCAATAGTGTCCCAACCCCCTCCTCCTCTGGGTGGAAAACTAGCAGTTTATTAGCCTACGTAAAAAAAAAAAAACCTTGATCCGCCCCTGCCTTCTTGCACTCGGTGAGAGATTGCAAGAATGACTACAAGCTGTCGAGGATGGATGAAGAGGAGGTGGTGCTCGGGATGTATATGACGAGGCGCAATGTGATGTCAGAGACGCCCTTCATGTGCCACTTGGGAACCTTTGCCTATGCCTTTAAATTTCCCTTTTAAGTGTCCCGGATCATTAGATCGTAAACTAGGAGCAGAGACAGCCCGTGCTGCTCTTGCGGTGTTGCAGACTACACGCATGTCATCCCCGTTCGTTAACCGAGGCAGTAAGGCAGTACGCAACGTCCCGTCTGACGCCAATTCACAACTCGATACATCACATCTGCCTATCATTATTGTAGGCCTAAAATATGAAGCATAAAACTCGAGAACCATACGCCATGACCATTCTTAATAGCAATATCGTTCATATATGATGCTTCCAGATGTTTTTTCTATGATCAATACATGCACATACCAAAAAGTTTGCTTTTATATGCACAAATGTTTCGATATGCATTGCATTTGTGAACTCTAACGACGCACGTATTGAAAAAAATGGTAGTGATAATTCCACTTTATCTCCAGGAATCACCTGTGTAAAGTATAACGTGAGATTTCATTGACACAACGACATTGCTTTGTTCCACGATTTAAAACAAATACTCTAGCGCCACCTTGTAGCCATACGTGGTATTACAACTGCTGACGCACAGTAAATTGAGGGAACAATGCCCGACGCGACACCTTTCATAAACAGCTGAAACAGCGTGTTCAGTGTTTTGCCAAAATAAGCCACGTTGCTAAATAAGTCGCAAGGGCAAACACGATATTTAAAATGGTCACGTTTCATATCAAGCAAACCACATTGGTAAAAGACAGTGAAGACATGGATTGAATCCTTTTCACCAACTACTGTAGTACACAAAGATAATTTCTACATCGCTGGGTTTTAATATATAACAAATATTGTTTTAATAAAGTGTGGTTTCTCACAAACAACAAACTACGCCTAATTTCAACAGTCACCGGAGAGGTAGTAAGCTCAGGCAGAAACGTACTGTTAAGAGATGCTATCTCTCTGCTACAACAAAAATAGGTCACATGTATATAATCTGAAATTGGCTGTTTTCTCCTGACGGAGAAAAGAGCAACATTGTTAGATTCATCATCTATTTTGCAAGTGTGTTGTTTTATTTTTGTTGCTAGGCGGATACATTTACTATGGAATGCTGTAGTTATTCAGTAGCAGCAAGTTTTTAAATTTGCATCCTGGAAACTGTATTCTTTTGTCTTGTCGATATAACCATAAAGCTTTATTCTGATGGCTACAGTATGTGTCTTTTCATCAATATCCATTTAATGTTTTTTTTTTCATTTAAAAACGACAATTAAGCCTGGCATCCCATCTAGGTAGTGTCCCACCTTTCTGCCATATGCTATATGGGACAGGCTCCAGGGCCCACGTCCCCTGACCAACATAGGCGGATAGAATTAAGATGAATGGATGATCGAGAAGATGTTTCACATAATCTGTAAAACCAGCGCCGTTATAATGTTAAAAGACGTTACTTAATCATGAATTAAGCTACGAGGCTCATTAAGGTTTCATTGTAAGTCGACGACCATTTGAAAACAAATGTAGGCCTATTAACTCGTATCGACTAATATGAATTAGATTACTAACGAATATTAATTTATTTGAAGTTAAATAATTAGTTGACAATTTGAATGCATTTTACATTTACAAACATGTGTTTTCGTTAAGTTTCATTCAGTCGCTTAATTGCCTTCCATACTGACGCAACAGCAATTAGACAACTTTAACTTCAACGATATAAGACAGAGATGGTAGGAGTAATTGTGAAATACTATAATAAGCCGAAATATGTCCCAGTTACATTGTCCTCCATAGAGTAGAAGTATCTGGAACACCAGGCTGTAAGTTTTAATATGAGCCCCCCCCCATCATATGCCTTTTTGCTCTCGCTGCTATGGTTGTTACCTGCATGTAATGAGAGTCTCAGATCACACCAGAGAGAAAATCGTAAATTCATTCCTGGTCCGTCTGGCTTTGTATCAGTGGGATTGAATGGCTACAGTTCAGAATGCTTTCATAGCACGTGGGGCGTGTTACGGGTAAATAATAGAATCAGCTACTGCATTACTGTGGTGTGCAATACGTTATGCATGTACCGTGCATTTTTTTTAGTTCCGCAATAAAGCACATTGTGGAGATGCTGCAGTCAAACTCTCCAACCAGAAAAATGAAGGAAATATACTATAAAGTGCCCGGGAGGATGTGCAAGTTGCTGCAGCGCCCATATCAACTGCTGCACTCATTTACAATCATCGATAACACTTATGTCTGTTAACCAATTAATATGTTTACTTGCAAATCACCTTGCAAACAGCAAATATGCCACATTTCATAATGCAATGGAAAATGGAAAATTGTATTATAATATTACAAATGCACATACATAGTTCCATTGATTATCCAAAAGAAGAATGGCATAAAAAAAAAACGGATATCTTCCATTGTTCCTTGCGCTCTCTTAAAGGGAGAGATGTAAATTACATTTCCAGACTAAGATTATATTTTGCAGTTGCGTTAAAGGTTTTTAACGGAGTGCACACTCCCAAATTGGAACATTATATGATTACGAATATCCATTCTGTGCTGGAAGAGTGCTGGTATTAATGTCCCTGGATAAATGATGAGTTCTGTTCCTGAGCGATGGAAAAAAAAAACTCCACGGTACATGTTAATGTTCTTTTCTTTTGCCATTCACTTGATATATTCATTATGGCCAAAATAGATAATCTCAATCAATTCCCCTGGTGGGTCTTGCATTGTAATGAGGGAGATAATTGCTCAGCAGCCCAGGAGTTTCTGCTCTATAGTCAAGAAACTAGGGAAGAAGCGAAAGTGGAGCATAATAAAAATTTATGCATGTACACATGCACACACACACACACACACATGCACACACGCACACACATGCACACACACATGCACACATACATTTCTATCTACAGTATCTGTCTGTCTATCTACATATATACGTATACACATATACATATATATATGTACATACACACACACACACACACATACATACAAACCTGTTTTATTTCCAAAAAAAAACCATTACAATCACTAACAGTTTTATTTGTAAGCTATATCTTGTTTTAATTTGCTGGGGAAAAAAAAAACACACAGACCACGTTTCTGATTCATGTCCTCCATTCACCGATGAACTCAAAACACTCTAATGTTTACCTGTAAAGTTTCACTGCAAGAACAAACTGCATTCTAAAAATACACCTGAAGTTTTCTCTTTGTGGTCCAGCAGGCCGTTATGATTTAGGTGGAGTCATTAAGCTCCTTTTCCCTGAAGCTGTTTTTGCCGACCTTCTCTGTGAGGATAGGCAGACTGACTCAGACTGCATCGAACGTGACCTTCAACTGATTCATACAGTCTATCACAGCAAAGAAGTTTGTGCTGAACTGCGACACCTGATCAATCCACCTTCCCTGCCATACATTTTCCCTCCATACTTGTAATTTGAAACAATGAAGGGTCACTAATACTGGAGATAAACCAAAACTGACCACAGGCAAAACTATTAGAATTGCCCTTTACTCCATGTGATTTCAACAGCCGTGTGTTGCTCAACAGAGGTACAAAATGTCAGCCTGATAATATAAGCCACACAAGTCAATTGTGGAGGCTGTGGATGTTTGCAAACTAAGCATATGCACAACATTCTTATGCATTTAATCAGACCTGCAACTCATGTTTGTACATCTATAGGGCATTAAGGAATGCAAGGTAGCTATTTCACTGGAAAAGCAAGTAAAGAGCATGCCTTTGAAATGGTTATAGACAATGGCTGCTTTGTGTGTGTGTGTGTGTGTGTGTGTGTGTGTGTGTGAGGAATGTCACGGCACATGGCATTAAATATTGAAGCAGTTTTCCCACAGACCCTAAGAAGCAGATAGCAGAGAGGTCTTTGGGTGATGCAATGAGATGCCGCTCATTTCTAGGACATGACAGAGTAAAATGTAAATGCATTCATGTGCTGGGGCAGCATTTACCCAAGCTTATGATTGCATTTCCTGCCTGGAGTATAAGGGGCCTTTTGAGGCAGTAGAGGCAGGTAACAATGCAACCAGGCTTCAACTACGAAACGACTGGTGTTCAATTACTACAAAAGTAAGGAATAGCAACAGTTGCCCTTCTAACCAACAAAGATGCTATAGTTTCTGCTATAGTTATAGCAGATAGATGCTATAGATGCTATAGTTATAGCCTTATACTATACAGGAAATCGCATCACGACTATATGAAACTTCTTCATTGTAATAGGGCATTTTTTCCCACATGGGTACATGCTAATCATTGGTCTCTGTGGAAAATCTGTGTATTCTGTTTGTGATTATCAATAATTACTAAGCACTTTTCTGTACTAATACAACTAGCCCATCAGTAAACCCGTGCAAAAATGCATTTTAAAAAACCTTTCGCACATTCATGAATGTTTCTTGAAGAGCATGAACCAATCTCATGTTGACCTGATCTGCTGGAATATATTATTTATTGCCACAATCAAAATGTGAATACAATGAAAAGTTTTTAAGGAACAGAGAAATCATTATGTTATTAGTATTGTTAATGTTAATGATGCTTGATATTCAGATTTTTTTCCGCAGTGTTTTAGTATAAAATATCATTAACTGCAGTTCCTTGGATTTTAACCAAATTATACCATAAACATTTTTATTATTAAATAACCAAATAGTTTTACATTAAATATATTAAACTAACTTTAACTAACTAATTTTTCTTATAATATTTCATTCAATTTTTATATAAAATAAAGGAGTGCATTAAAAACTAAATAATAAACAAGCACAGAAAACTTAGAATGAGTATGGCAACTGGTTACTTCACAAATAACTAAAAGCAAATGTGTAATAAGAATGTAATTTGACATTACAAACTGTTTCCTTCAATATTAATAAATAATTACTTCAGGGTCGGCTTACTGATTATTCCTTAAAATACAAATGATTTACAAAATGATTTACAAAAGCAAAAAGAGTCTTTTTTCCCCATTTTAGAGATCCATATTGAAATCCAAGTTTATCAATTTTATTCACGTAAAAATATATATTTTGACAAGCATATGTTACATTTTTCCTTTATTTTTTTCATTTAAAAATGTATGATGTTTGACGATAGTAAAATTATGATACACAG